TATTTAACTATAGATGATTATGTGTACTAATAGAATTGAATCTTTTAAATCCTATATGAATAGCATATAGCATCAACTTTTATTAGTAATAGATATATAATATAAAATATTAAAAAATCATAATAGGAAATAAAATCACTATATTTAGTTATTCTTTGTTAAATTGAAAAGGACATTAGTCAAATTATGTTTTTCTTAATATTGATGATAATGCAGACTCAAGGAATAAAACTTTTTGTAACTGTTTCTTATCAAATTAGGAAGGCACGTAGAATATCTTAAGAATATTTTATACATAAAATTTTATTCTTTGTTTAATTAAGAATTCAGTGGGATTTCAAAATCAATTTCCAACAGCACAAACTCTATAAATTAATAAATTCTATAAATTAAAAATTTCTCTTAAGTTAAATCAATCTAAAATATAACACATATTGATACAATAATAAGATAATTTTTAAAAAAAAATATTTATGTAAATAAATAGTATCATTAATATCTTAAGTTAATAACTATCATAAAAATAATCTTATATAAATAACTATGATAATTTACTAAAATATAAATATATAATTTTTGTTTTTATCAAAATTAAAATAATGTTATAATTCATCTATAATTTAAAAGTGAAATGTTTAAAAATATCATAAACTTTTTAAACAAATATTGTTTTCAATTAATTATTAATACATAATTTATTTAAATTAAAATCGATAAACTACTTATAAATTAATAAAATATTAAATTTCAAATATTATTAATTTATAAAGTTTTGATTGTAAAAAGTGTTAAATTTTCTTAAATAAGAAAACGTATACATCCTATTAATTAATATTACTAAATATTTTCTTAATAGTCGTTAGTCTAGTAATCATTAACCCAGTAAGGAAGCTTTGTGGTTGAATAGTTCAAAAATAACCAAGTAACAGCTGCACACTCCTTCCCCCTAGACCCAAGTAGTCAGATAAGTTTGAGCCCATCTCGGATCGGAAAAGATTTCTGTTCTGGATAAACTGTTACTTGGTGGTTTTTGAACTATTCAACCACAAAGCTTCAATGGATACTATAACTGTTTTTGAACGATCAGCTATCAGTTGTAGTATCCTACCAGTTTTCTATATTCTGAGGGATCGGAGAGCAGTGTACTTAACAGGAGAGTCAGCTTTGGGAAAGTTGCCATTGGTGTGGTGTTAGAGGGGAATTGAGCACATTTCCTAAAAAGGCTTTCTCTAGCAATAACCTAAGCCAATCAAGATCAGGAAGGCTGTGCCGACGTAGCCCTGAAAAGGAAAACTCCTAAGAGATAATCTTGGAAGTCCGGAAGCATCGGATTAACTCGAAGGATGAGGGAGAATTTCTATATTATTCGGAGAATAAGGGATATTTCCATATCACAAATATGGAAATATTCACTAAAGGAAAAAGGAAAAGGAGTTTGGAGCAACCGACCTCATATCCCTATAAATAAGTAGACCTCGAAGCTGAAGAGGATAACTCATACAATCTAGAGAGTAGCAGAGCAGAAACCAAGAACTCCAACCCTTTCTAGTTCACTTTGCAAATACTTTCTTTTCATCTCGGCATAACCTCTCGGATAAGCCATCTTTTGTAATCGCTTCGCTTTACAGCTATTAATAAAAGACCTTATTCTTTGAAACCCACAACTGTTAATCAAATCCTTAGTGGTGATTTTCTGGTTCAACATGTGGTAACCGGCTTGGTGTTGGTTATGTTGTAGCGATGCAGAAGATCCATGACCAGCGGAGGTTCTATGAACTTCTAGGCCGAGAAAATAGTGAAGGTCTTCTGCATCTTTAACAGAGAATCAACTAATTTGTTCTTGTTTTGTTGTACAGAAAATCCCAAAGATGATGAAGGTGACGATGCCAACAAAAAAAATCTTGAAGATGATGAAGGTCATGTTGATGAAGATGATGAAAGTCACGATTCAAACCAACATGGATTTGGCGAAGGTATTGCTTTGTGACCACCACTGACGGATGAAGATGTTACCATTCAGTTGCAACAAGGTAGAGCTAATCCAATATTCCACCCATTCCAGCCATATCTTCTATCAAGGAAAGCAAGATTGGATGAATGGAAGAATTCAACTAACCCAAAGTAAGTAAAGTTTTCATATATGTTTAGCTTAGTAATATGGAGAGATTTACAAATATCTTTTGTTATGTAGGATCTTGAAAGATTTTCTTGGACATGAAGTAAATGGTGATTGGTTTTTTAACCTCCAGACATCAGGGACTGTAATGAGCAGACAGGTAAAGCTAGAATTTGAATTGGACATCATATTAGATTGACCGGGCAGGGACATCATATTTGATTAGTACGCATTTGTAGTTTTAAAGTAAAAACGTATATGATATCTTTTGCTTTATTACAGCATATGGAGTTTGCTATGCATTTGCTTCAAACAAGGAGAAAAAATAGTCCCAAGATTTTTGCAAACAGTAGAGTTGTCATCTATGGAGAAGATTTTCTTTTGACACGCAAACAATGCTGGGAAAGATGGCGGTGGAGTCAAAGGTGGTACAACTACAACAACGAAAGCATTGAAGGCTACATCAATGGTACATTGCCGGCTATTTGTCAATACAGGGAAGAAGATGATCAAAGACATAGACTATGTCTATGCGCCAAAATGTTGGTATGACAAACAATGGGTTGCTGTCATATTTGACTTGAAGAAAGGGTCGGTAAGCATATGGGATAGCGATAGATACCCGGACAGATTATCAGATTATGAGACTTCGGCAATCCCATATGCACAAATAATGCCTGTGCTTTTAAAAAAGTTTGCAAAGGGTGTGAGATATTCCAAAGAATTCACTATTAAAAAGCAACCAAAAAATACCCAAGGTATATTACTCAAAAAACTACTTTGGTTTCTATTAGTTCTTAGCTGACTAATCACAAAATATTTTACTCTAGGTAAGCAATTTCGAGGACACAGGTTTATATACTTTCAAGTTCATAGAGTGCCATGCGAGTATGATGACAGACCTGTCTAGTCTCTGCCTTGCAAATATTAAACAAGTGAGGATTAAGCTGGCAGTTGACTTATTTTGTGAGGTACTTGATGGATCTTCTTTAGATAACCAACTCAACGATGCAGCTGCAGATGAGTTACCACTTGAGTCGCTTAGTGAGACCAAAAAGTCAAAGTGAAACCTGAAAGGGGATGGTCGTAGAAGCTCTATGAGAAACAAAAAGGCTAGAGTATGAAACTGTTTCTCCTCGTTTGTTTTAAAATTTCTTCAGCTCAAAAACTTGTAAGCTTCTTCTTTGGTTTTTTCCTCCCTTTTTTTAGCCACAAAAGCTCAACTACTAATGTAATGGCTTTTGAAACAGACTCTTTACTTTCTGTATTTTAAATATTTGCTTTATTAAAGATTTATAAATTAGCTTCTGAATCTTTGTAAAGATTTGTAAGGATTTATAAAATTTATAAGGATTTAAAAGATGTTTTAAAATGTTTATAAATAAATGTTTGGGGGTTCAAATACACTCGAGACAACCCCGAAGGCTGTGGATTGAATCACATATAACGAATTAGAATTATGTGAACCCCATTTTGCTCGAACCAATGTACTGATTGTACAGTAGAGGGCGTGTGTAACCCCTAAGGCTGTGGTGTTTTAATTGCCATAGCCTCTAGTGTAATTGCTTATAAAGAGAATACACTTTAGTTATTTTTATATTGCTCTGCTTATGATGCAGGCTCAAACACGGGCCCAGAAAATCTAAGACGCTCTTGTGGATTGTAAATTATAATTTGAACGATGTTGAAAGCCCAATTGTGTTTTTTCGAACATGATGGATTATATGAATGATGTTAAAAGATTTATAAATTACCTTTTAAATCTTTATAAATTTGGTGTTGTAATTTATAAAAGATTTAAAAGAAGTTTTAAAATGTTTTGGGTGCTTGAACCAGAGAACTGAAGGTAAACTAGAGGGTGTGTGTAACCTCCAAGGCTGTGGTGTTTTAATTGTCATAGCCTCTAGTGTAACTGCTTATAAAGATAATACACTTTAGTTATTTTTATATTACTCTGGTTATTTTTTCTAAAATGTCTTTTAAAAAGATTTATAAATTACCTTTAAATCCTTCTAAAATTGGTGTTGTAATTTATAAAAGATTTAAAAGAAGTTTTAAAATTTTTATTAAAAATGTTTTGGTTGCTCGAACCAGAGAACTGAAGGTAAACTAGAGGGCGTGTGTAACCCCTAAGGCTGTAGTGTTCTAATTGTCATATCAGTGGTTGTAATTGTTTATAAATAATATATGTTAATTTTGTAAAAAAAATAAAAAAAAAATCTCCATTGATTCCTCATCGAGAGAAATGACACCGTATCGATAAGAGGTACTCGTTTTATTTATTTATTTGCATTGAAACAATCAATTTCTCCTCTTGTCATCTAGGGAAGAGATACAACTTTCTCTGGTGTTTGGTGGCGTTCTGCACTGCTTCGTCCCTTGTTTATATATATTTTGATTCCCCATTATTTTGCCGTCACTGATTCCACAGATAACAATGGCGACTTCGACCACTTTGAAAGATCTCCAAATGGCTCTTAGGCAAATTAAAAACCGTCCTTCTGACTTTTTTAACAGGTTTGGTTAAAAATGTTTAATATAGATATATAAGTTTTATTTGGTGCTTTAGGTTTGGATTCGTGTTTTGAGTTCTGTAGATAGATGCGATTTTGGAGTTTCGTTTGTGTATTTTTAGTTGTTGGGTTCAATTACATTGGTTTGTGTCCGTTCGAATCTAGTGGGTTGGTGATGACTTTCAGCGTCTTTTCTCTCTGTCTCTGTATAAAATAATTTTATGGATTCTCTCGTTATAGATTTGAGAAAACCCCACATTTTAATGATCGAGACAGAAAAAAACGTGAAGATTATATTGTTGTAGATCATTAATCCTTTGACGAAAACTTTCATTCAAATCTTGTTGTTGTAGATCATTAATCATTTAGAGATGTTTTGTTTAGGTCTGGTGGATGACAACCTCTTCGAATGGGAAGCTGCAATTAAGGGACCAAAATATAGCCCTTATGGTGGAGGAACCTTCTGTGTTAGCATCCATTTTTCCCCCATAGTTTCTAATGAAGCCTCCAACTGTAATTTTTTCATACTAACTCTTCATCTTATGCAACAACTGCTAATGTCTATGTCTAAATCTTACGGGTTCCTCAATTTTTCAGGTCAAATTCAAAACCAAGGTGTTCCACCCCAATGTTTCTGACAAAGGAGATGTCTATCTCTACATGCTGGACAATGGATGGGCTCATGGTTTCACAATTCCTGATGTATGTGTTTCATCTTCTATTGGTTATAATTTAACTTTAATACTGGCAGTTAAGTATATTTATTAAAGAAACTTTCTTATTTTCTGGAAATAGATCCTAATGACGCTTTGGGGAATGCTCCTTACCCCAAGATTGGAGCTTCCTGATAAGGTGAATGAGAATACTTTTTGTATGTCTCTGACATGGAGAAGTTTAATAGAAAAGCTGCTGAGTGTACGCAATCATATGCTATGAATTAAGGAGTTCGTTTGTTTTATGACCACAATGCTATCTATGTTGTAATAAACTTTGATGTTTGAAAAATTTATAAACTGCAACATACTTAACTTTTTTATTATGAATGAATCAATTCCATTTGCTTCACTATTAATGGGGATGGTGCTTCTAAATTGTTACTTGTAATAGTGATTTAAGAAAGTTTTTAAAACCATTTAAAAAGTCTTATAAAACCATCCACAAAAATTTTATATCCTAGTTGCTCGAACCAGAAAATGAGTGTAGTCAATGAGGATGAGTAACCACTCGGATCTACTTACAAAAATATTTTATAAAGATTTGAAAGAAGTTTAAAAAGGTTTATAAAAAATATATAATAGAATAAAGTAATCCAAAGTTGGTCGAACCAAGGGACTCGTAGATAAGAAGAGGGCGTCTGTAACCCCCAAAGCAGTGGTGTTTTAGTTGTCATAGCTACGAAATATAATTGTATATATTAGTTATTTTTAAAATATACGCTTAAAACCATTTAAAAAGGCTTTTAAAATATCTTCAAGTTGCTTGAACCAGGGAACGAGTGTCTTTTAGGAGGCGTTTGTAACCTCTAAGGCTGTGGTGTTTTACTTGTCATTGCTACGAATACAGTTGTATATATTCGTTTAAAACCATTTAAAAAGGATTTTAAAAAGCTACTTAATCTTTTTAAATCTTAAAATGGGGTTTGAAATAGGGATCCCCTGTACTTATAACCAACTGTTAATGTAAACACCGCAAGTCCTTTCATTCAAAACCTCACCAACACAAAAAATAACAATAATATAATAAAATGATAGAGTTCATGCTGTTCATTATATTGTTTAATATGAGAGTAAAATCAGAGATTAGCTCAGATTGGGGCTATACATGTAGATTTGTTGTGTCCACTATGACCACACCTACCATATTTGTAATATTATATTTGGTACAAGACTTGCCATACTCCCAACCAGAAGGAATCCTCTTTTTATTTCGCCTCCCACTAGGAATGCGAGTAGAAGGTGGAAGACAAATAAAATCAACTACATTAGGAGGGATGTCCCAATAAGTCTTATCTCCAACAGGTTAAATACTCTCTGCATAAGCTAGTATCCACCTGTGAGAAGATAATATGATTAGCTATACAGAACAACACGAAATTAATCAAGAATAGAGGCATAGACAATAGTACCTTTCTTTGGACAAACAATCATCGACATAGTTATTTTTGTTGTGTTTGGCAGCTTTGGCGGCCGCAATCGCATGACCACAAGAAAATCTTTGAATATCAAACACACAACATATTCATTACCTTGACATCAAATTCACAATCTCCTTTCGCTTGTCACCCTTCACCTCAAACTCAAGCTGATTGATTGGACACACTTCAAGCCACCATGATGAACTATCATAGGATTCCTTCATTCTCTTCTCGGCTTATAATGTCACAGGGTGCGGATGACGTGAACTCATCTCATGCCTTTCCTGGAACCACCTTGTCAATATAGACCTAATGGTGTCAAACAGGCACACTATAGGGTATTCGCGAGGGATAGTTAACAAAGAGTTAAGAGATTCTGCAAGGTTTGATGTCAGGATGTTATAGCGAGTGGAAGGTGCATAAACGCATGACCATTTCGTGACATCAGCTTTCACCAGATAATCTGCGAGCAATGGATGAGCATTCTTGATCTCGTTAAATAGAAGATTAAAGTCATACTTAGTGTAAGCCTTGATTGCCTCCTGAACCAAAGCCACAAGAGAAGCGTCCTTGAAATGTGATTCCACGTTTTTCTCAAAATGAAAACTGCAGATGCCATGATGAGCCAGTGGGTAATTTATCGAAACACCTTTCGCAATAGATGGTGCACGATCCGACACAAACACTAGATCTTCCTCATCCGGAATGATAGTCTTCAGGCACCTCAGAAACCACTCCCACGAGGCATCATTCTCAGAGTCAACTACCCTGAAAGCGATGGGATATAATTGAAAGTTACCATATTGCGCTGTGGCACCAAGCAAAGTCCCTTAAATTTTGCCTTCAAGAAAGCACCATCGATAACAACTACTTTCCTTAGCACCTTAAAACCTCTAATGGATGCGCCAAAGGACAAGAAAGCATACTTGAATTTTCCAGCATTATCCACCTCAATGTAAGTTGCAGACCCGAGATTCTTTTGCTTTACCATGTGGAAAAAACTTAGCAGAGCTTCATAGCTATCTTCTGGAGTACCTCTAGCAATCGCTTAGGGATGTTCTTGAGCTCTCCAAGCTTTTGAATATGAGATAACGACACCATGATCCTTTCTAGCTTTTTCTATTATCTGTTTAGGTCTCAATCCAAGCTTCCCTCCATCGTAATGATTACTTAACATAGTACCCAAGACCTTTGCGCTTGCTTGCCGATGGTTAACATGCCTTAATGATGAGTCACAAGTATGTTCGTGCACATACTGCCGAACAACAAAGCTTTCGGAGCCCATAACTCTTGTTACACGAAATCTCCAGCTACAACTTTCATCAACACAACATAGAACATACCGTTTCCTGTCTGATAATTCAGTGCGGAACTCAAAGCTATGAAGCATCAAAAACATTTGTAGCTTTGTGCCCATTTCATTTTTGTCTTTGAATAGCTTCCCACAATACACACCTTCATTATCGAAAGCAACAGATTGTGAGGAACCAGATGGAGCCGCACATCCTGGATCAAGGGATGATGACAATTATGAAATTCCTGACATTGAACTTGAATTCGATCGTCTCTGCAGAATAGAAACATCAATATATATCAGAGATGAACAGATTATAAAACCTTTTAAAAGGCTCATTTTTTATAAGCATACCACAACTGGGGGAATGGATGAAGCAGTGAAACTCTCTTCAAACTGCAAAATTGAAAAGCCCATTGCAAGATTTTGTAAGTCCCATTGAGTACATTATATTCATTCATAAAAAAATAATTTGTAAGCCATGCCAAAGCTTCATGAAAATACCTCATTCACAACAAAGTGTGGGGCAGCAGGGGCAGTAAAACTCTCATTACTTATATGGATGTTGTCTCTAACCATGAATGAACGAGAGTTTGTTTCTCTCTGTAACATAAACATTATACTTCATAAATTTGCTTTGTAATCATATAGACACAAAATAATTATAGTAATTACCTCATCCATAGCACGAAGGGGGCAACGATGGGAGCTAGAAACTTCAGTAGCAGGGTCCGTACTCTTTATTTCCTTCACTGTCACACATAACTCAAAAACTCCTCCACTCTCTTGAATCTTGTGCATAAAAGCTTCTAGTTGCCGATCATTCCTAATGACCATATGAGGGAGATGTTTTGACTCTAAAAGAGAGGTTGAAAGTGATCCATAGCTAATTTTCAGACCATTGGCATTGCCATCAATTCCAAAATCTTCTAAAACAATCGCAACCAGCTTGTTGTAAGCTATGTTCTCTATGATGAGTATAAAAGAAGCTCCTCTGTCAGGATCAACAACGAACTCTCATTGTGTGGTATTAGTTAAATTCCAAGGTACACACACAAAATATATCTCAAGCATTTCGCCTGCTGAGAAGAATATAACAATTTATAAGGGTTTGCAAATTTACAAAATTCATCGTCACTATCGGAACCTCTTCTTCACAAAATCAATCGGAACCTCTTCTTCGCAAATTGGATATCTACTTATCACTAAAACTTATAATCGACAACACATCATCCTTTCCTCTAAAAATCTTATGCCAATAAATCATAATTTCCCAGAAATTCAACAAGTTAACCCCGATTTGACAGAATCAGAAGGTTTATACCTTTGTTCAATGAATCCAGCAGCCGGCGAGAGATGATGTGATTCAGTTAGTACGATACGAAATCGCCGATGATCATTGTCGATCGTTCTTCTCTTTCGATATCGGGGTTTTTTTTTGTTGAAAACGTGTTACAATGATATAATGGTCAATAAAAAATGGCATTTTTGATTGATGGAAGTTTTGAAAATAGTAATTAGAGAAGTAGTAATTCTCAAAATTTCTCATTTTCTTTTGCGAGTTTTGTTGTTTAAAACGGTTAAACAGTTAATAATTATTATTAAATTTTTATATGTTTTGTAATATATTAATTGAACTAAAATGAATCCACTACATATTATTTGAGAAGTAACATTATTGAAAATAGCTTACATGTCAATACTACAGTCAAAGTTAGTGCTTTTAATTGATGACATGTAAATGTGACATGTCAAACTTCATAAAATAAACTAAATGTTTTGATTGGTTGAATTAAAATTATAGAAATTTTGAATTAAAACATAAATAAACTAAATTATATTTATAACACTAAAATTAACAAATTTAAACTAACAGAAAATAAAAGCTATTATAATTTCAGTTTTTTACATATATTCATAATTTCATAAAATATAATTACGAATTTTTTTCAACAATATATATATATCATAAATTCATATAAAAACAAAAAAAAATATTAAATTATCCAATAGAATAGTAAAAATTCTATTTATTAATAATACTTTAATTATGATATATTTTTATTTTGGAAAGTTATTAATTTACAAACTATATTAATAACATCTCAACAAGTTTTAAATAAACAAATTATTAAATAATAAAATTTTAAATAAAATAAAATCATGATAAAAATAATTTAAAGAATAAAATGTTAAAAATAATTAAAAAATAATTAACTTTTATTGTATTTTTTAAAAAAAACGTAATTTTAAATAATTTTTCTTTTCAAACCAATATTTACTAAATAAATAATGTATATACTAATTATTATTTCATAATATTAATAGGATCATATATTTTTCTATAACTTTTATCATATTTTTATTGTTGTTTTCTAAGATGTACATAACTTATGTTACCATCTCATCTTACCTTTTATCATATTTTAAATAAAAATAAATTTATATCATATTAATAAATATATACATAAATTTATTTTCATTGTATATCAAAATTTTTAGATCATAAATGAATTGAAAAATAACCGAATGAAAGAATAAATTATAATAAGATAAAACAATATGAATAAAAAATAAAAATAGTAGTATCTAAAAATAAATCTCTCGCCCTTTGTTTTACAAAGTCTAATTTTTATTTTTATTATTATACAATTTATATTTTTTTAAAAATCTTTATCTATTCTAAGTGTAGTGAAGTGGTTGGTATGCCCGCACATGCGTGCCAACCATCTATCCGCTTTTAGGAATAAGTAAAAATAGTAAAAACTATTTCAGTTTAATTTGCAATAAATCAAAAAAAATATATACTTAAAATTTATTATATATGTATTTGTAAATTCATATTATGTAGGACGCAAAAAATATATTATAGGTTGTGTAAGAATAAATAAAGCATATTATAGAAATATTCAAAAAATATTATAAGAATTTAATTATTATTTAACATAAATTTTATATTTGTGATTATATATTATTATAAGCATTATAAAAATAAAAAGTTTTAAAATACATTGGTTTCAGAAAGAAGTTTGTATTATATTTTAACAATATATATACAAACATACCAGTGTTTAAAAAAACTAATCAATATTTAAATATTACAATTAACAACGTATATAAAAAATTATACTTGTGCGGGCCAACCACCTAGTTCAAATTAATTCTAACCGAATTATATTTAAATCATACTGAACCATATTCAAACCAAATTAATTTTGGTTGAGTTCAGTTAGAGTTTTAGCATAACCGAACCAAATCCATAATTGAACCGAAGTGCCCACCCTGAATGAAAACAAACACCTTATTAATATTTTGATTGTTACAAACAATAAACAAGTTTAGGTGAAGCGGCAATATAATAATTTGAAGCAAATCCACTCTATATAAATTACTAGCAAGCTGAATTTTATAACACTGCAAAGAACAGAATGTACGTCCAAAGTACTTAAAGATGGATGGAAAAGGACAGCGAAAACCACAAACGTCACAAACTGGTCGACTCATACGATTATTAGAAATCACTAAACGCTTTTCTGGTTTTATACATGTGAGGTCCATTTGATGTGAAAAGTGATGCCACAGAGATCACATGAATAAAACCATTTTTTTGGGTTTAGATTTTCTTCGCATATCTGGCACCAGTACTGCTCAGTCGTTTTTGCATCGTAACACAGAGACAGAAAATGATCTTTATCGTTTTTGTGTTTAACCATCTTTGGCAAAATAGAACAGTTAATGTCCAAAGCAAATCCACACTCTTCACAACCTAAAACCATAGTTGCTTTATCTCCACAACCATTACAGAATTTGTCTCCCGTTGAGTGACTGATGTATAGCGAATGAAGAGGATGACTTACATGGACAAATGGCTCAGAGATAGAACCACATCGCACATCAAGGTTGATAATACGATTATCATCACTTGTGTACACTAAACCTTCAAAGTTGCTTTCACAAACATCGCAGAAAGTTATTTCACCAATTTCTGAGAGTCGCAGAGTCATTGGCATCTTGTAGAAAGAATCTATAATCTTTTTTGGGAGATAAGCGCATTTCTGATGAAAGGTGAAGTCATCACATTCCATGCAATTGTAGAATGGGCTACCAAAAATGGGATATGTGCATGCTTTACACCATGCGCATTCATCATTAGCATCACTCTCTTCTTCTTTGAGCTTTAAAGTATGCTTCTCGTGACTGAAATGCTTTATTACGCCTTCTTCGATCACCTCATATGATTTAGAATCGACAATATCTTCTAATATGCCTTCATATTCAATTCCATCCCAAATCCCAAAACTTGTGGCGCATCTCCAGTGAATTGCGAAACCCAAACACTTGGAACAAGAATAAGCTCCACATCTCCAGTTTATTTCTTTCTTACACACTCCACATTTCCAATCTCCGGCAGTGAGGCAATGATTGTAAGAGATACGATAAACGTGACGACTTGTCTTTATGATGCGTGGTATGTCTATACAATTTCTATGGACCATGAAATTGCATTGAAGACATACATAAGGGTTTGGATCGTCATGCAATATTCCACAAGCATTACAAACAAAAGCTCGTTGCGGCAAAAGAGTGAGTGGATGTTCATGAGCTTTGGGTTGGACCCTTTCTAAAATTTTAGAAAGGAGGTGGGTTCTTTGCACAGTCAACATCCACGCTGAAATCGCAGATAGAACAGTGATAAAACACGTTATGCATTTTCCATCGGTGTAACTTGGAACTCGCGTGAGACGCTTGAGAGGGTGTTTAGGATGACAAAAGTAGTTGAGCTCTGGTGTAGATTCGGCGCAATCTTTGTGAAAACTCAAATCACATATGTTGCATGCATAAGGGAACCGATCGTCAAGCAGCTCACATATATGACATGTAAACATAATCATCTTTGGAACAAGAGATAAACGATGCTCGTGGCTCTTTGGACTTTCGATCGTCATCGTAACTTCTTTTCTTGCACATATCAAATCGATTGCAAAATCACATATAGAACAATAATAATACATTTTTAGCAAGTTACCTCTACAAATCTTGCACTCTCCATGGGCATTTTCCTTTGCTGGGACTACCTTTATTGTTAAACGATGTTGTGGATGATGGAGGTTGGAAACATCTGGACTGGAGTTAGCGCATTCTTTGTGAAAAAAGAGGCCAGAAAGATAGCAACGATGACCATCACTATAGTAGTTTGTACCAAGATTACAGGCCTCACATTTTAGCCCACGCGTTGGATACAGTTTATAATTTTTCTTTAATATTTCCATAGATTTTTTTAAAAAGGAAATAAATATATGCTTTTACGATAGTATTTTCAATAATTTTCTTGGTTTTGGTTTGACGTAACGATGAGGTCTTATATACAGTACTACAAAATCACTACATTAAATTATTCTTTGTTAAAATTAAAAAGATACTCTTAGAATTATGCGTTTCTTATTAATATTGATGATGATAATGCAGACTCAACGAATAAATTCTTCAATGTAACTTTTGTAGCTATTGTTTTTCAAAAAAGGAAGGCAACATCAGATTATCTTAAGAATATTATTTAGACGTCGAAGTTATTCTTTGTTTAATTTAGAGGACATTCCAATTTTCGAAATTACTTTCTTTTTTTTTTGTCGACTTCGAAATTGCTTTCTAACGTACGAAAACAGTATGAGAATACTTTATTTGGTAACAAGAAAATGCATCGGAAGGAGAAACCAACAATGTTAAATTTGTTCGTTAACGTTGGATTTAATAAGGTCGGACGAACTCAGAATGAGAAATTTGTTCGTTTAATGTAGTTGGAGTTTTTTGGACCAACTCAACAAATAGGCTCTTTTTTGTGAAACTTTTTTTGGTAGTTAAAAGGGATAATACTGTATGTATTGGAAGATTGACCTGGTCGAACAAATCAATATTATTATTAGGAGATCATCAATAAATCTTGCTCTTCATAATTTTCTTAATCCTGATTTATTTTATCTTGTTCAATCTCGGTCGATCTCGTCGAACTTCTAATATATAGAAATGTCCACTCAATAAATATCCCAATATTTTGGCCCTGTTCGTTTTTTTATCCTTTCAGTCGAGTTACTAAAGTACTTCTCCTTTCAATCGAGTTACTAAAGTACCTCTCTTTTCAGTTTAGATATTGTATCTAGATTTAGCATTTAAATATAATTTTCAGATGTAGTTTTGATGGAAAAAGTTGATTTTCCAAGTTTTTACGGAAAAACTTGATTTTTGATTTTAGCATGAAAACTTCATTTTGCGATTTTGGCCGAAAAGTATGATTTCTTGTTTTGGCGAAAAAAATTGGATTTACAGTTTTGTTGGAAAAACTCAATTTCTTGGTTTTTGCGGAAAAGAACACGATATTCGGTTCTAGCGAGAAAACTTTATTTTGTAGTTTTGGTGAAAAAACACATTTTTACGTTTTACGGTTAAAAATATAATTTTGCGGTTTTGGTGTGAAAATGCAATTTTTCGGTTTTATGGAAAATGGAATTTAAATTTTTATGAAAATTAGGATTTTATCCTTTTTATTTTACGATTTTGGCAAAAACAAATAATAAATACAAGTTTAGTTGTATTTTTTCTATCATATTAAAGAATATTTTGGTCTTTTAGATTTTGAAATGCAAATGCTGCATCCAGATTCTACTTTTTTAGCATCTCAAATATCCAAATTTTTAAAATACTTTTAATTTTGTATCTCGATGCAATATTTAAATGCTAGCTTAAAAATATTCAAACTGACAATATTTGGATATTTGATAAGAACATTTTGGATACAAAAACGAGCAGGACCTTCATCGAAGTTTGATTTTCGTTTCAAATGTTAAGAAGAGACTTTCACATCTGACTCTTCTTAATTATTAGCCTAAGTTGATAAAGACTTAAGATTTCAAGTTCACATATGCATCTTTTTAGTAGGAAGACGTACACATCTTAGTATTAAAATATTTTCTTAGTTCACGTTATGCTTCATGGTTAATTATTACCTGAATCGTCTCGTAATCAGTAAACCCAATAAAGAAGCTTTATTGCTGAATTGAAACAACATAGTTTGCACACTCCTCTGTCCTAGACCCTAGAAGTAGAGAGATAGGTCTGCTGATATTTCTCTCGGTTGATTCTAGCTAGCTACGAATACAAGTTTTTGAAGGCAACAACTTGTAATTTCTCCTTCTGTTATTATATCTGTTTGAAATGCTTGTTCTTATTGATTAAAATTCCCTCAATGGTTCCAGAAAACAAAGTTTGTTAAAAGACTTGCAAAAGAATTAAAGTATTAGAGAGTATTAGCTCAGATGTCTCGCCTTATAATGTTATATAAACGCTGAACGTGACGACATACATGCAGTTTCGTTGTTTTTCACAACGTATAATAGTGAAGTAAAAAAATAAAAATATCCGGTTAATTTCGGGGTTTTGAACCCGACGTGAATCGAACACGCAACCTTCTGATCTGGAGTCAGACGCGCTACCATTGCGCCACGGATCCGGATGTCTTACTTACGTCTTTGATTAATATAACATAATCTCTAAAAGTTAAATTTGATGTTATATATACTCTTTGCGTATAATTAACAAATAAATAAGTCTCCACTGTAAATTTGATCTCTGATTATGGTTTTGCCAGAATCTCTGAGATGGGGGTTGGTGTTAGTTGGATCAAATTAAGAAATTTGTAAGCAAAGTATCAAAATGTTCTAAGCTTGACACGTGGTGCTTATACAGACGTCCAAGTAGCTTTCTCATTATTTCAAAGGTAGTTGGACTTTTTCTCGTGATTATTACGTCACACTCAAAGAGAAAAATAAATTACTCAAGGCCAAATCAAAGATGTTTTCCAATATATTTTTAGTAAATCAAAATGTTTTTTTGTTCAGTACCATTTGTTAAAGAAGAATTTGGTTAATGATTCAACAGTAAAGCTAGCTTTGTCTGTTTTCTTAATCATGTTATGTAAAGAAAATTAACAATAATGTTGACAAAGATATTATATATTACCGCCATTATTGGGAATACTATATACTATATAGAATGCATTATAAAACAATCATTAATAGATCGACAAGAACTCACACATACACACATACGCCAATGTCATGTATCATGTATGTGCGCCTATTGTAGGCGTTATACAGTGGGGACGTAATACCAATTATATTGACATTTAATGATGGTCTTGACTCTTGTGTGGACCCAAATCATAATACAAATATACATTAATGCTGCTTATATATGTACATATTAAAGTAATATATATGTCTAATTGTCTATGTCGCACACGCACACCCCACACATGTATTATATAGACGGTGGGAATTTATCGAATGGTGTATGCTTGTCATTTCTGTATATTTTCATTTTTGTAACCTAAATATACTACATGCATGTATTGACAAAACCCACAAAATTCATGTAAAATATCCATTATTAGAATTAGCAATGAGCATAGAGCGTAAAACGTATTAAATGAATAAAAGGTTGTTATGTTAAAAAAAAAAAAAAAAACAATGAGCATAGAGCGTATTAAATCACTTGAATGGGATATATCCTCTTTGATGAACTATATTCTAAACAATATCGTAATATTAAACTGTAAAAACAAATGCTAATAAAATATTGGCAATTTGCCCCAATTTGATAATCCAATCCTATATTCTTTGTCGGGTTGATAATCTGAAAGGACATATTAAAGATATAATAATATAAAATAAATCATTTCTTTAGAATCTTTGACAACCAATTAAAGGACTAATTAGTCAATAGAGAAATGTATTTATATTCTTCAGAAAAACTAAGCTCGATCCATGAAAGCAAGTATCCCTACGCGCCTGCAGAAGAGTTTCTTCCTGATCCTACGCCGTCCAAAGTTCCTCCGTCAGTGTCACGTGACTGAGCGTGTGGCTTATGCCTTACGGATGGCAAAAAAATTCTTTCTGCTTACCAACAAAAACAACTAAATATCTAAGTTTTCTAAATCCGGTTCTGGATTGATTAGTTTTTGTTAGTACAATAAATAACTAAGTATCGTCTGTTTTATTTTTTTAGTATCCTCTATGTTATGTACACGAGGATGCTCACGAACGGTTCGTAAATCGAATCATATTCTAAATTGTTTAATGGTAATTACATACAGCTGATCTGTGTCTTTTTCTTAATGAAGTAACTGATTATATATTGTATAGTAGTTGATTAATGAAGTAACTGCAATAGTTAGAATAATGCTCTTTTATAATAATCACGATTTAATAGAGGTTATTGGTTCTTGTATTTTGGTGGATTTAGAAATCATTTTTGAATTTGATAAATTTATTGATTTCAAAATCAGCAAAATAGAAAAAAATCAAATCCATTTAAATACTAAGGTTAGACCTTGTATTTGAGTCTTTGTATTTTAGTCATGAAAATCCTTTCAAATCCATTCAAATTCAATTAAAACTTAAATTTTTATAAAATTTAAATTTTAAAATAATAGAACCAATAACATTATATTTCATTATAGATTTTAAAATCATAGATCAATAACACTGTATTTTAATATAGATTTTAAAATACAAGAATCGATAATACTGAATTTGGTTTGGATTCTCAAATCTATTAAAATACAAGAACCAATAACACTTCATTAATTACTTACGAGCCTCTTCAGATAAATTTCGATTTTGAATTAGAGTTGTGATCATTGCAGTCAAACTGTAGCCATCGAATCTAATTTGTAAGTCATCATTAAAATTTGGTAGCAAGTTAATTCGAGCTGTTCAGTTTTTTTCTACAAAATGATTGATTTGCTGACAAAAAAAAATGCCGATGACAAATATTTTTTGACGGGTAATATAAACTAGACGACAGTAATACAATCATTAAATTATATAATTAAATAAAATAACTATTTATACAGTTCTATAATGTAAAATTTTAAATTTAAAGTAAGCAATATACAGTACATCAATTATATTAGCTTAATTATAAATTACATTTCTTACCGCACTGTAATGACTATGCTAACTGCAATTACAGCAGTAGTTAAATTGCGTTTAACCATTGCAATTTCATTTACGAAGTCACCAATGTAATTGAGGGAGAAAGGCAAATTAAAGGAGACATGACCTGTACGTTCCCAACCTACAACGACATCAAGAGATTTGTTGTCTTTTCATCACAAATTATTAAAACTGGAACATCAAAATTATAATATATGGAAAATGACCAATAATCAACATTAGTACAGTTTGTTTTTGAATTTTCTTTCCTAGCTTACTATACACACCCAACCAAAAAAAATCTTTCGTTTTTTTCCTATTCACCAACCTTAAATTATGCATATAAGTAGAAAACAAAAGGATGTGACTAAATATGATTTAATAGACGTTTGTCCCTTGTGTTTAAAATACATGATTATAATATCTCACTTAGACATTCATCCACATAACATTAGTGAGAAATAGATCACAGTATGTTTTTACTTTTTAGCAAGAGGAGTAGTTAAAATAAGGAGGAATTGTGGTAGTTAGCAATAATTCTTTTTATTTTTAGCAAGAACATATATTATAATAGGAATATATTTCATACTAATTAAACAAAACAGGTTGAAATACGGTTTAGCTGTTTTTGTTGCCGTATTTTAAACATTATGAATACGCTGTTTTCTATATGAAAATTTAATTTATCAAACAAATTTTATTTTTGTTATATAAGTGTATTATCTATTTATTAGCATAATTTGTTTTCTACTTATAAACACAATTAACAAATACTATTACTTATTTTCTTATACCAAAAACACACTGATTTGTTTGTACTCATTGTAATTTGGACGCCTAATTATTCCCATTACGTGATTGGTCACAATTCACAAATAAAATACTATTCCCATCCTTAACAAAGCAGAAGAGAATCTTCCAAAAACATTAAAATCTACGCCCAAAAATTATAGAGAACAAATATAAAGCAAAGTGCAAAAGAGAAAACCAAAAAAAAAAAGTGTTTCTTTTTTTAATAAGAAAAAAATAGACTTTTTTTTTAAGAACAGTGAAGAAGTAGCAGAACAAAGAGAAATGGAGAAAAGAATCTTTTAGATTTCTCGCAGACTCACACACACTCACCACCATTACTCCAAAAAAGGTGAACTTTTTTTTCTCCTCTTCTGACACCTTCTTTGCATCTCGTTACTTTTCTTCCTTCTTCTGTAACTGAAGAATTTGATGAACTTTCAGTAACCGAAAGTTTTGCTTTTTTTCTTCACCTTAAGCTTTGTGTTCTGATCTTGTTTCTACCAGTGTAAGCTCTATTTTAGCTTTGTTGATTTTTGTTTTTCCGATTACAGTTTATAATTTCTGACTACTTTAAATAATTCTTATGGCGCATTTTGATTTTGATTTTTTTTCTGTACTAGTTTTAACTTCCCTTTTTGTTATTGTTCCGGTATGGTTGTTTTATGCATATAAGCTGTTCGAGGTTTTGTGAATTTCTGTTCTTTTGATTTCAGATTCAACCTTTCACTACTGTCTCTTTCTGTTCATTATGCATCTTCCATGTTAAATTTGGGTTTTAGGTTTGAGATCTGCTGATTCTGTTAGTTTAGTGTTTCGATTCCTTTTTCAGTAGTCCTCTGTTCCCGTTTTTAGCAAAGCCAAAACAAAAAAGGAACATTTGATCTGAACATTCTGTATCTGAGATTTTGCTTTCTCTTATAATGTTTGATATTAATGATCAAAAATCTGGTCTTTGATGTGTCTGTGTGATCAGATGAATAAATGATCAAAGACTTGATTTTTGATGTGTTCTTGTGTTAATAAGAAGTATCAATGATCAAAGATTTGATCTTTGATGTGTTCTTTGTGTTGAATCTGTTGCAGACGTTGCACCTCAAGTACAGAGTTTATTATAGACCCAAGAGAGATGGTATCAAGATCTTATTCCAACCTCTTGGATCTTGCTTCTGGCAATTTCCATTCGTTTTCCCGGGAAAAGAAGAGGTTTCCGAGAGTAGCAACCGTCACAGGTGTCTTGTCTGAGCTAGATGATGACAACAACAGCAACAGTGTCTGCTCTGATGCTCCTTCTTCCGTCACGCAAGATCGGATCATCATCGTCGGAAACCAACTTCCTATTAAATCCCACCGGAACTCGGCCGGTAAGTTGGTTTTCAGCTGGGACAACGACTCGCTTCTCTTACAGCTTAAAGACGGTATGCGTGAAGACATGGAAGTCGTCTACATCGGTTGTCTTAAAGAGCAAGTCGATGCTGTCGAGCAAGACGATGTTTCACAAAGACTGCTTGAGAATTTCAAATGCGTTCCTGCTTACATCCCACCTGAGCTGTTCACCAAGTACTACCATGGATTCTGTAAGCAACATCTATGGCCTTTGTTTCACTACATGCTTCCTTTGACGCCTGATCTTGGAGGTAGATTTGATCGCTCGTTATGGCAAGCTTACCTTTCGGTTAACAAGATCTTTGCTGATAAAGTCATGGAAGTGATTAGCCCTGACGATGATTTCGTTTGGGTTCATGACTATCACTTGATGGTTTTGCCTACGTTCTTGAGGAAGAGGTTTAACAGAGTAAAGCTCGGTTTCTTCCTTCATAGCCCGTTCCCTTCTTCCGAGATTTACCGTACTCTTCCAGTGCGAAACGAGCTCTTACGAGCACTCCTCAACGCTGATCTGATCGGGTTTCATACTTTTGACTACGCAAGACACTTCCTTTCTTGCTGCAGCAGGATGCTTGGCTTATCTTATCAGTCCAAAAGAGGAACCATAGGGCTTGAGTACTATGGTCGAACGGTTAGTATCAAGATTCTCCCTGTAGGGATTCATATCAGCCAGCTTCAGTCGATTTTGAACCTCCCTGAGACTCAGACCAAAGTTGCTGAGCTAAGAGATCAGTTCTTGGACCAAAAGGTTCTTCTTGGTGTCGATGACATGGACATCTTCAAAGGAATCAGCCTCAAGCTCTTGGCAATGGAACAACTTCTCCAGCAACATCCAGAGAAGAGAGGCCGAGTCGTGCTTGTCCAGATCGCAAACCCTGCAAGAGGCCGTGGGAAAGACGTTCAGGAGGTTCAGTCTGAAACCGAAGCCACGGTTAAACGGATCAACGAAATGTTTGGGAGACCAGGTTACCAACCCGTGGTTCTGATTGATAAACCGCTTCAGTTCTTTGAGAGGATTGCTTACTATGTGATTGCAGAGTGCTGTCTTGTTACAGCGGTAAGAGATGGTATGAATCTTATACCTTATGAGTACATTATCTGCAGGCAAGGCAATCCGAAACTCAACGAGACTATAGGCATTGACCCTTCAGCTGCAAAGAAGAGTATGCTCGTTGTCTCTGAGTTTATCGGGTGTTCTCCTTCTTTAAGCGGCGCCATTAGAGTGAATCCTTGGAACATCGATGCAGTGACTGAAGCAATGGACTATGCACTGATAGTCTCAGAAGCAGAGAAGCAGATGCGTCACGAGAAGCATCACAAATATGTTAGCACACATGATGTTGCGTACTGGGCGCGCAGCTTTATACAGGATCTTGAAAGGGCTTGCGGTGACCATATGAGGAAGAGGTGTTGGGGGATAGGTTTTGGGTTAGGCTTTCGAGTTGTGGCGCTTGATCCGAGTTTTAAAAAGCTTTCGATTGATCACATTGTCTCGGCTTATAAGAGGACCAAGAACCGAGCCATTCTTTTGGATTATGATGGCACAATGGTGCAGCCAGGGTCCATTAGGACAACACCAAGCCGCGAAACGATCGAGACCTTGAACAGTCTGTCTAGTGATCCCAAGAACATCGTGTTTCTCGTCAGCGGGAAAGACAGAAAGACTCTAACCGAATGGTTTTCTTCATGTGATGGTCTCGGTTTAGCCGCAGAGCATGGGTACTTTATAAGGTAACAACACTTGGTTTCATATCTTCTTAAATCTTAGGAACAAGTGAAATGATCGAACTTTTGGATACAAAGTAAAGATTTCGTTCTCATATCTTCTTGAATTTAAGTTCAGCTTACTTAAAAGATCAATCTTTGGGATATAAAGTTGCGATTTTTGCATTTGGTTGTTGCTTTCAAATCTTCGTGATTCAGTAAGAGCACTTGAAAAAGATCGATCTTTTGGATAATAAAGTTATGGTTATTGCACATGGGGGCTGCTTTCATATTATCTTCAATCTCATTACCTTTTGGATATAAAGTTGTGATCTTTATGTCATAATGGGGACAGGCCAAATGATGGAACAGAATGGGAAACATCGAGTTTAGTGTCGGCTTTTGACTGGAAACAGATAGCAGAGCCAGTGATGAGACTCTACACAGAGACTACAGATGGATCAACAATAGAGACTAAAGAGACTGCTCTCGTTTGGAATTACCAATTCGCAGATCCTGATTTTGGATCTTGTCAAGCCAAAGAGCTTATGGAACACCTCGAAAGCGTGCTCGCAAACGATCCAGTCTCTGTGAAAACCGGACAGCAACTCGTTGAAGTTAAACCACAGGTCAGTTAAAAGAGTTTAGTTTATTGTCTGCTTAGCCTCTCCCGGTTCAGTGTTCTTGATTTTGGTCACATATATAAATACAGGGTGTGAACAAAGGTCTTGTGGCGGAGAGGCTTCTAACGACAATGCAAGAAAAAGGGAAACTTTTGGATTTCATTCTCTGCGTCGGCGATGATCGGTCTGATGAGGATATGTTTGAGGTGATAATGGGTGCAAAAGACGGTCCGGCTTTGTCTCCGGTGGCTGAGATCTTCGCTTGCACCGTTGGACAAAAGCCAAGCAAAGCTAAATACTATCTAGACGATACGGCGGAGATAATCAGAATGCTTGAAGGTCTAGCCGCACCTATCTCCGATCAAACCGCTTTCAACGCAGCTGTTCCTACAAAAGATCTTTTTTAAAGGATTTGTGAAGGGGAAGTTTTAAGAGTCAGTGTTGTTTGTGACTTGTGAATGGTTTTCAAATTTAGGAAAATGGCTTCTTCTTCTTTTTTTTTTACTACTGTGTTGGTTTTTTCCAAATTTTTATAATGGATTAAGATAAACAGATCTTCTTGTGTCATATATACATATACAAGAAAATCCACTTATATTGATTCAAATAAGAGTGTGACAATAATACATAAGTAGAATCTTAGAGACGTAACCAAATAGAACCAGCTACTACTAGAGTGGTTATAAGAAGATCTAAGATCCCAACTTCACTCCGTTTCGAAAACACGCGGCATTGTGATATCTTGCGCGGATGAGGAAACGGAAGTGTTGATCTTAAAGGAAGTGGTGCCAAATTCTCCAAGAAAGGAGATATAACACATGTGTCTGAGGAGAGACAAGTGATCTTATCTGTCTTTGGGTAGTACTTGAAAAGCCTCTTGTGATTGTCACACAAGACAAGGTTCCCTTGCTTAGAAACAGCCACCGGCATGAACCACCGGGGAATACCTTTTCCGGCTAAAGGTATGGAGTAAGCCTTGCTCCATCTTCCTTCTTCTTCTTTATTCATGCTCCATATCTCTAGCTTCCATTGTGGGTTTGTATAGGTAACGGATACGGTCAGGCTGTTTTCGAGGTTTGATATTTGGGTTTCTTGCGTGACACTCGTAGCCGGAGGCGAGACGTTATGAAACTCTTCTTTGTGAATATCAAAGGCTAGTATTTTGTAGCCGTCCCCAAAGTGTTGTAACCAGTAGATGATTCCATTCACACACACTGATTTTCTTCCCGCATCGACCTTGTAAGGAGGTGGAGTACTCAACATCGACCATTCACCGGTTTTAACATCAAGAACACTACAGTCAACATCCATCTTCACTACTTTATAGCTTCCCGTAACTTTGTCTCTACCGAATCCCATCGTCCTATCTACCGGAGAGAAAGCCGACGACCACAGTCCGATTTCGTAACTGAATCGCCGGAGTTGTCTTGTCCTATAAGAAATGTAGAAGAGATGATTTTGTATTGCTTGCTCTATCGATACATTTATACATAAGTTGCATTGCAATAACAGAAAGACAATATTGACAGTATTTGCAAAGATAATGGACGGGAGGATGAGTGTAAGAGTGTTGAACCCGTGTGTGTGATGCTTAGGCTATTTCCATCGCCTACAATGACCTCTTCGCCTCCTGTGTAAGGATGATGGAGAGACAGGTTGGCGAGATCAGAGGAAATGTGGTGTGTTGCCCCGGAGTCAAGGATCCATGGTTGAGAGCTTGATGAGCCTTCGGTGGCAAAGTTAGCACGAGGTTGCCATGAGGAGGGTTGCGGGAGTAGACCGGTTGTCTGTCGAGAGAGTTGTGGGCAACGTCTTGCGCTGTGTCCCTGAACGCTGCATATTTGGCACTTGCCCAGGTACGGGCGTGGCTGCCATGGTGCTGTTTCCTGTTTTGGTCGATTTTGAGATTGCCAATGATTGCTGCGGTTGTTTGATTTGTATGGTGGTTTGAACTTGTTTATGGCAACGTTAGCAGAGGCAGGGAACGTGGTGATAGGTTCTGCCGTGACGATCTTGGCTTCATGATTTAGGAGCTTTTCATGAAGCTCAGGAAGCGTTGCGGGAGCATCGCGACCTTCGATCTGATCAATGACGGATTTGTAATCTTCGGGTAAGCCTTCTAGTATGAACTCAATTTGATCTTCTAGGTCCATAGGTTTGCCGAGAATGGCAAGTTGATCGAAGCGTGTTGTGAGGCCTTGAAAGTACTCATCAATCGGTTTAGTTCCCTTCTTCCATTGTTTGATTTGGTGCTTCACTTGTTTAATGTGGCCGCGACTTGGTTTTGCGTATGTGGAAGCTAGTAGTTCCCAGATCTCGGCTGTGGTATTTGTGTTTGATAAAAGTGGTTGTATCGCAGGTGTGATGGCGCCAAGAATAGCACTGTAGAGGAGCTTGTCTTGACGATTGTGAAGTGCGTAGGCTGGATTTTCAGCATCGGCACCATTGACGGTGATGGTAGAGTCTGGAATCTTGTATGAGACATCAAGGAAGGAGGCTAGTGCATATCCATCGAGGAGAGCATGCACTTGTCGCCTCCACATGATGTAGTTGGAGGTGTTAAGACGTGTGATGTTTGTCATGTTCACATGGAGGAGGGAGCCTTGAGGAACAGGAACGGAGTCGGTGATGGTGGCAGCACCGTTATTGATGGAAGTGTTTGAAGCCATTTGTAGTGTTTGCAAGGGTACAAAGAGAAAGAAGAGAGGGATAGAGAGAAAAAAAAAAATTCAGAGTTTGAGCTCTGATACCATATAAGAAATGTAGAAGAGATGATTTTGTATTGCTTGCTCTATCGATACATTTATACATAAGTTGCATTGTAATAACAGAAAGACAATATTGACAGTATTTGCAATGAGATATGTATCGCTTGATTGACGGCAATGATATATGAATTATCATTAATATCGAATCTGTAATATGTCCAAGGGTTCAAGACGTTGACCCAGTCTTGTTCGGGGATGCAGACCAAACCGTCGCAAGTCATCGAGGGTCGTGAGGCGTCGCAGTGAAGATAGACTATCTCTTCGTCTCCTTTGAGCCGTGACTCAGGGAGGAGCCTCGGCCTCCCGCCGCAGCCGCAGTTGTAAGCAGCCAGGATCTTCCGGCTCTTTTGGAGACTCATACGTCTCTCCACGAACTTGTTCGATTCCAGAATTGATCTCCATCGTTTTGAGACGGTTTTGGATATGAGGATGGATTCCAAAGGCAGTCGAAGGAATATTTCTACCAGTAGATCATCAACTATGTAGCTCGAATTAGGGTTTTTCTCTTCTTCCTCCATTTTTCTTTTTCATTTATAGATATTACCAGTCTCTTATCTATATAATTTTTCTAATCTAACAATTTAGAAATTAGTCTTTTTGTTAGGATATACCGGGAGATTGACTTTAGCATATTTTCAATTTTTATTAGGAAAGTCAATGTTTGCATTTTTTTTTTCTTTCGGATCCCGAAAACAGCTCTCAGAGATCTTTTTTCCTTTTGTAAGATACAGGAGCGAAACAATCATACCAACATTTAGATATTTGTTTTGGTGAACAGCAGGTACAGTAACAATGAAAATGGCTTCTTCTTTAGTGAGGTTATATGAACGACCTTCAACAAAAGGGTATCTGTACCCGAAACTTTCCACCAATTCAAAAGATCAAAAAAATAAATGAAAGAAATTCTATTTTACTACAACAAAACATTAATTTTAGTTTTTCTCTTCTTTACGGAAACAATATTATTTCAGGTGCCATTATTCCTACCTCTGCAGCGAGGGAGAAAATGGGGAAATCCCATATAGCCCAATATATCTGACAAGGGGGGGGTATTAATGGTTTCTTATTCTTTGTACATGTTGATTACGTGTGGAGCAAGTTACTTTGTATCATTTATGAATCCCTTTGATTATTTTTAATGGCATAATATGTGACAATATATAAACTTAAGGGTTTTTTCAATGTTCTTCAATTAATATACTGTTTAGGGGGTTTTATTTTGTTTGATTGTATTATTAGACTGATTCAGAATATTCTTATTAAATGTATAGAAAAGTGATTACAATGTGTTTCTTTTCACATCAAACAAACAAATTAAAATTATAGAAATACTAACATTCCTTTAAATACAAATTGTATAAATCATATTTAACAAAAAAAAAATACAAACATATATAAATCAATAATTTTATTACAAAAAATTAAAATATTAATCGAACATTTTGTGTGTGCTTTTTCTTCAAAACTATAAGTATAGGACTTGAACAAAAATCCAGTTCTACCACGGGCTGGGTGACGATGTGGGCGACGTTAAGCTGCAGATTAAATAGATATTTTAGTTTGAGAAAGTAGTATACCGTGTAAGCATTTATAAGTATCACATATTAAAAAAAAAAATCTGGAGAAAATATCTTACTCTAAGAAACTTTTCCAGCAAGAATCACTTGTTTCATCATCAAGGAACCTCTCCCAGTCCTCTAGGACATCTGAACCGGAGGAGTGTTGAGTCGTACCAGGGTGGTTCATATCGGATGTCTCAGGAGTAACCGATACCGAACCAGAAGATGGAATTTGATCACCATAATAACCCAGGATCATACCGGCTCTGGTTTGATCAGTTACCTCAGTGGCAGTACTCGTACCCGGTTTTGCTGAATTCAGATCCTCCTGAGAAACCGTAACTAAACCAGGAAGCTGGTTATTTTCAAAACCATCCCAATTATCTTCGAACGATGGCATGAAATCTTCATTTGTACTTTGGTTTATGAAAACCTGTGGATCAATAGCATTTAATTCTCCAGCCGCCGGCTCCGGTTTAGGATTCACTGAATTGGTGTTGAAGCTATTGAGTACCGGTTCCGGTTTAGGATTCAGTGAGCTGGCATTGAAGCCATTGATGTTTGGTATTGCTTTGGGGGTTATGATTTGAAGCATCTTATGGATCAATTGGAGTTTGAGAAGATCTTGCAAAGCAGTGTTGTTGTTGAAGATGTTACTGTTAAATTGGCCATTGCTAGTCGCTGCCGCGAGTATTTGAGAAACATCGAGGATAGAGCTAAGATCGTTGGTTCTTGGCTCGTGCGTGGTTGGATCAATCCCCATTTGCAACAACTTCTTCCTCATATGAGTGTTCCAATAATTTTTGATTTCGTTATCAGTTCTTCCTGGAAGATGACTCGCAATCTTGGACCATCTGTATAGTTAAAATAAAAATTCTATCGTTACAACTTACAACAATAACCAAGTTTAATATTTTTCATGGTTGGAGACATAAACTGAATTTTAGACTAGTCTTAAATCCTATATTAGCAAAATGATACTACATTTTGATGGTTTTGATCCAAGGAAAATACATAACTAATGTGTCTTTTCTAAATAAACTCACGACTTTAAGCACTTTAATCAAAATAATTTATTTGTTCATTCTAAGCACAAAACACAAAAAAAAAAGATTTGCAGCAGTGCTTTAATGAACTAGAAATGTTTAACGTGCTAAATAGTTACATGAAATTTCTAATCAACAAAAAGTCTTACTTGTTGCCAAGAAGGGCATGTAGTTTAACGATGGTACTCTCTTCTTCATCGGAGAACTCGCCTCGCCGGATATCAGGCCGGAGATAATTCATCCACCGGAGACGACAGCTCTTGCCGCAGCGGTTAAGTCCAGCGAGCTTAGGAAGCGATCGCCAATTCCCATAACCATTCTTATCTATATAAGCCGTGAGCTTATCATCTTCTTCGGGCATCCACGGTCCTTTCTTCACGCCTTTGTCTTGATCGCAACACGGTGATCTTCCCATTTTGTTTATATATTATCTTCTCAAGATTATTGAAGATTTGATATTGTTTCTCTCGTAGCTCTCTGCGTTCGAGTTTGTATGTATATATATACTGTATGTGTGCAAAGCAGATCATAACTAAAGTAAAGATGCATGCATTCGTCAGAGTATTATTTTTCATAGTATTTGACAAGTCTACAATATATGAGTCATTCAATGACAATAAGTAAGTTAAACAACCAAAATAGTTTTAACAAAATCAGGATTAGGTATTAATAATATATATGATATGTGTCATGGCGTTCGCAGAGTAATTCGTGGGGATGATGTTCAAAGAAAGAATTGTTATATAAAACAAGGAGAACAATATATATATATATATATATATATTTGTTAAAGGATTTCGTTATTGTGGGTTAGATGTATAAAATATATGCCCTAGCTATGCAGGTATTTCCTTATTAGAGTTCTAGCTGAAAATGCTGAAATGCTGAATTGTTACGTACTTAATTTACTTGTAGATACAATAACAAACTATCGTATAATTAATTTCATATACTGAAATACAAACAAATCTTATCGACATTAGATTAAAGATCCACATTTCAAAATTGTGATGATTTTGAATATTTTTCCATCTATATACTATTTATTTCTCTATTTAGGTTAAAACGTATAGTAAAACTGCTTATATGCTTGGTAAATTAAACTAGTTAACTACTTTTCTTGTAAAGTATATAATATATAAGTAATATTTAATTGTATTATTCTGAATCATGTTCTCATTGCAATCTTCATCAAAATTGGAATCTTATACTTACCATTATGTGATTGCTTCCACCGCATTCAAAGAAGTCTCTACCTGCTTCATTGCATGGTTGATCAAAGCCTGATTTTTCTCTTCTTCTTCCTTCATTTGAATTCATAAAGAAGATGATTTTTCTTCTCCTCACCATATAACCAAACCATTTCGAATTTCTAATCATAAATGGGAAATATTGCTTTAACCGAAATTTAAACTGATATCTTAAAACTGTACTTATATTATAGTTTATAACCATTACGTAAAATTCTACACTCCCAAAAAAAGCTATATACATTCAACAAAATTTGACTTGGCTTCAATCAAGATGATCAGTGGACTATCATCATTTATCTTTTTTTTTCTTTACGTAAATATGTAAATAATGAAACTGTCTTCAAGTACGTTGTCTCAATTTCTGTTTTTTAAGATATGTGTACACAAAGTTGTCCAAATATATATATATATATATATATATATATATATAATATGTGTGTAAACAAATACTCCCTCTGTTTTTAAAAAGTTATGTTTTAGATTTTGTTTTTATTTTTGAAAGATTGAAGTTTTACATTTTAATCAATTTATTTATTTTTTTCCGACGAAAAAATAAAAATAAACTATTAGTTTACTTGTATTGAAAACCAAAAAAATAATTAAAAGTAAAAATATAAATAACTAGTAAAGTAAGTAATTATTATATTTTAATATGTGTAAAAAATGTTAAACATCAATCTTTAAAAATAAAGAGAGTATATATTACAGTATTTAGATTTTTTTGGTTAAAATTAATTCGTATTGCCAATAAAAGTTACAAACTATACAATGTTTTTGATCTTTCCGCTTGATTACAACAATATTTTGAAAAATGAAAAAAAATCTCAATAAGTGTGATGCTGATGTGTTAATTTTAGCATTTGAGAAAAGGAGAGAAAAAATGGTCGAGATCTTCAAAATAATTTACCCCTTTTTTTTTGGAACTTCAGAGTAATTTACACTTGATTCTATATAAATTTGTATGATCGTTTAATACAAGTTCTGTGGAGTAATTTACATAATAAGGTATCTGTTAGAGATGAGATTCGTACCGTCTCTAACAAGCCCGATATGGATTCTAGTCGGCTCGTCTAACAAGTTCCAGGTCGACAACATAAATGAAAATCTTCCATTTGTTGACGATCCGGGAAAAAAGAAACTCCTTGCCGGCAAGAGTTTCCTATTCCAAACAGGTTGAAGACCGACCTGGTCGGCTATAAATGCAGGAAGTCATCGACTCCTCAAAGCATCCAAAAATAATCAATCGACCAAGAGCAAAACTTAGCGATCAGACTGTTCTAGTTCTTGATTTATTTCCTTAAACAGTTTTAGGTCGGCGTTCTTATTCCGACGACCTAAACACCGTTGTATTCAACCAAGCTCCGACTTCTTCTAATAAAAAGATCTCTTTGAAACCCTCGAACCCTAGTTCTTTCGTAGATCGAACTTGAGTTTTTACAGTTGGCGCCGTCTGAGGGGACTAAAAGAGCAATCTTTGACTTAGAACGGAGTTCGAAGATGGTTGAAACACCGATCAACACTACCGACCTCACCGGAGGAGCCTCCGATCCGACAAGAAACATTCAAGATCCGATCGTCGACCCAGCCACGAGGCTTCCGGTGGCCCACCAGACCGATCAGGAAGACAACACAACTACCGCACAGAACACCGGGGGAACAGGCCAGGTCGGCCAGACAGGTGGCACAAACACGACCAGCCTGCCACAGCCACCTCCCATCAACATGGCCACAATCATCAGGTCGGTTGCAGCACAGTTGCAACAGGGGATGGATGATCGCTTCAAGTCCCTCCGAGCTGAGCAGATAGCTTACAGAGAAGACTTGGATCGGCTTATAAACTCTAGGGTTCATACCCAAGAGCAGGCCGATCTTATCACTCCCCCTCGCCCTTCGATCCGCAACACAGATACGACCAGGCTGGTCAACAACCTGTTTGGCACGACACCGACGGACGACTTACGGAGAGCACAGGCAGAAGGCTCGCATTCTTGCTCATCTCAAAATATCGCCGGAACCGAACCGACGACAACCTCGGAACTCGATCTTCTCCACCAACGCCTCGAAGATATCCACAGCAAGATCCACAAAGCGACGACTTCAGCTCCCGAGTTGGATAAGATCCTTCAGGAGACGCAGCAAACTCCGTTCACGTCGGCTATCACCAATGCTCCTCTTAAGGACATAGGTCGGATGAAGCTACCTCCGAGTTACTCCGGCACGACAGACCCGAAGCGACACCTGACCGCGTTCAACGCAGTCATGGGACGTGCTCGCTTCACCGATGAGGAACGGGAAGCATGCCTCTGTCAATACTTTGTGGAGACGCTCTCCGGGAGCGCCCTCACTTGGTTCTCACAGCTTCCCAAGAACTCCATCGACAGCTTCAAGGAGCTCACAGCTCGGTTCCTGAAGCATTATTCGATTTACATCGACACAGAGTACACAGCGCTCGATCTATGGGCATGCGTCCAGGGCGACACGGAACCGCTGCACGATTTTATCGATCGATTCCGATCAATCGTCTCCCGGTGTAGTCTATCGGACGAACTGTGTTTCAATATTCTTATCAATAATTTGAAGGATGATTCATCGTTTTGTGAACGATTGAAGACAGGAAAAACCAAAACCCTCGAAGATGCTTTGTACAAGGCATCCGGGTACATCAGAGTCGAGGAGGACCGGGCAGCCAAGGCCAAGGCCAAGTTGGCCGATGTGAAATCTTCACGCGATAAAAAGGGCAGATCGTCGAGTCAGGAAGATTACAAAGAGCCCCGTCAACACTACGACAAGGACGACAAGAATCGCAAGAGCATCAACGCAGTTGGACGACCAAAAAAGCCATGGAATGTGTGGGACCGTTTGAGCGACAGAGACCCTGACAGCAAAAAGCCGTGGTGCAAATACCATAGGGCGCACGGTCATCATACCGATGATTGCCGCACCCTCCCAGCCCTCTTGAGGAAGAGGTGGGACGATGGCGAGATCACCCTCCCAGAACCCTGGAGTTCACGACGATCCGACGATGAGGGCAGGCGACCCGATGACGATCGCGACAGAAGAGAAAACACCGATCGCTCTTCTAAACGCGAAGGCAAGGAAGCAAAACGTGACCGTGAAGACGATCACACACCTCCAAGCTCACCACGTCGGCGGATCAACATGACCATGGGAGGGCTTTTCTCGTGCACCGACTCGATAAATTCAATTAAACGGCACAAACGGAAGGCAGCCAATCCCCCGAAGGACGCACTACTACTGTTCAAGGATGACCTACCGATCACATTCACAGAGCAGGACGCGCGTGACATCGACCGACCTCATAACGATCCACTCGTCATCTCACTACGACTCGGAGAGGACGACGTCTCCAAAGTGTTGATCGACACTGGAAGTTCGATCGACCTCATCATGGATACTCTATGCAAGATGAGTATCCCCGAGCGGGACATAAAAGTCGCACCATCACACTCACAGGATTCGCTGGAGACTCAATTTCGACAATAGGAACTATAACGATGCCTGTCACCATACGCGGGAAGTCAATTATGGTCAAATTCGAGGTTATTGACCGACCTGCGATCTACAATGCTATCCTTGGAACACCATGGCTGAACGCCATGCGAGCCGTCCCTTCTCCTTACCATCAATGCATCAAGATGCCGATCAGGGGCCGTGTCATCACCATCCGTGGCGACCAGACAGTGTCCCGACATTGTTACATCGACAACAAGCGCGCCCGAAAAGCATCAACGTTCGTGATCGGTAGTAGTAGCGACTTTGACCCGCGGATCGTTCATCACGACGAGCAGCCGAAGAGCGATCTTATCACCCAATTCAACATCGATGCTGGCCACCCGGAACGTTGCGTCGGTATCGGCACGGAACTATTGCCTAGCATGCAGGACGAGCTGATCAGTTTCCTCCGAGAGAACGTTGTAACGTTTGCGTGGTCCATGGCCGACATGAAGGGTATTAGCCCCCGAATAACGAGTCACGAATTGAACATCGACCCAACCTTCAAGCCGATCAAACAGAAGCGACGAAAGTTGGGACCTGAGCGAGCACAAGCCGTCCACGATGAAGTAGATAAACTCCTGAAGGCCGGATCAATCGCCGAAGTAAAGTATCCGGATTGACTCGCCAACCCGGTGGTCGTCAAAAAGAAAAACGGCAAGTGGCGGGTCTGCGTGGATTTCACCGACCTTAACAAAGCTTGCCCGAAGGACAGTTTCCCTCTTCCTCGTATCGATCAGCTCGTCGAGGCTATTGCAGGCAACGAGCTACTCTCCTTTATGGATGCATTCTCAGGATATAATCAGATCCTGATGAATCCAGACGACAGCGAGAAGACCGCATTTATCACAGACCGGGGCACTTACTGCTACAAGGTCATGTCATTTGGTTTGAAAAATATTGGAGCCACTTACCAGTGCCTTGTCAACAAGATGTTCGCCAACCAGCTTGGGAAGATGATATGCTCGTCAAATCAGCTAAAGCAGCCGGCCATATCATCCACCTGCGAGAATGCTTTCTCATACTGAACCAGTATGGCATGAAACTCAACCCCGCAAAATGCACCTTCGCAGTCACATCCTGCGAATTTCTAGGATACTTGGTCACTCAGCGTGGCATCGAAGCCAATCCTAAGCAGATCTCCGCGATCATGGAGCTACCCTCGCCAACTAACACTCGCGAAGTTCAGCACCTAACAGGAAGAATAGCCGCGCTAAACAGATTCATATCCCGATCTACAAACAAGTGTCTTCCCTTCTTTCAACTCCTACGAGGCAACAAGCAATTCGAATGGGACGAAAAGTGTGAAGACGCATTCGTACAGCTCAAAACCTACCTTTCGACACCACCGATCCTGGCCAAACCTGAGTACGGCGACACTCTGCTACTCTACGTTGCGGTCTCTTGCGCGGCAATCAGCGGAGTCTTGGTTCGAGAGGACCATGGGGAGCAGAAGCCGATCTTGTACTTTAGCAAAACCTTGGATGGTACTGAAGCTCGCTACCCGACCTTAGAAAAACTCACTCTTGCTGTGGTCGTCGCTTCAAGGAAACTACGACCTTATTTTCAATCTCATTCCATTGCCGTCATGACCAGCCAACCTCTTCGTTCGATCCTGCACAGCCCGACGCAGTCCGGCCGCATGGCGAAGTGGGCAATCGAGCTTTCCGAGTTCGATATCGAGTATCGAACGCGGACTTCCACGAAATTACAAGTTTTGGCAGATTTTTTTATCGAACTATCACCAG